AACTGTTTGCTTACATAAGTGTTGTCAAAAAACAGATTTTGGCTTTGGGGCTATGACTTTGATATGAGGATGATGGGGTCTAGAAAATGAAAAAATGTCTTAGAGACATTGGGAAACATTACATAACTCAATAAAATGATCTCAGATAACTCCTTGCTTCAGTTATGCACATTGTGCACATTATTTTATGATTTTATGTTAATTAGTGCTAATTTTAATAAAGTGAATATATAAGACAGTTTAGGGGTTAGCATGAACTCAAAGTGCTGTTGAAACAATAACTAGACACTCACCACGCTTCTGCCTTAGAACTCCTATGTCAAAGATGTGACCTAAGTACCATGATGGAAAAACCATATGTGAATTAAAGGATCTTATGCCACATAGTTGAAATCCAATAGGGTCGGAATAAAATAAAATTTAAATCTCCAGGAAGGAAGATTTTATGTATGTATGTATGTATGTATGTATGTATTTATCTATCTATCTATCTATCTATCTCTATCCAGCGTGCATGAGGGGGAGAGGGGCAGAGGAGGAAGAGAGAGAATTTAAGGAGGCTCCATGCTCAGCACAAAGCATGCATGACACGGGGCTCAATCCCATGACCCTAGGATCATGACCCAAGCTGAAATCAAGAGTTGGACAATCAATTAACTTTGCCAATCAGGTGCCTTAGGAAGATTCTACTCATAAGGAAGAATTCTGCAATAATTAAAGTGCTCCAAAAAGTTTGTGACACAGTTATTAAGGAAAAAAACAAAAAAAGTATGGAAAGATGACCAAAAGCCAACCAACCAAGCGAAATGGTCCATATTTGCCTGTGAACAAACAAAAAGTACAATATAGTGGTTTAATACATATTATGAGCTTAACTGTATCTCTTTCCCATCCCTCCACCACACACACAAAAAGTATGCTGGCATACTTCTCTCTAACATCTCAGAATGTGAAATTATTTAGACACAGAGACTTTACAGAGGTAATCAAATTAAAACTGAGTCACTGACATGGAACCTAAATCATAGGACTTGTGTCCTTAATGAAGAAAGGAAGTTTGGACAAAGAGATGGATAGAGAAGGAAGGCAATGTGAAAAGACAGGGACACCACCAACTACAAACCAAGGAATGAGAGACGCTAGGAGAAGCTGGGAGACGGGCCTGGAAAAGCCCTCAGAAGGAACTAACCCCACTAATACCTTGATTTTTGAACTTTCAGCATCTAGAACTGAGACAATATACTTGTTTTTTTTTTTTTTTTTTTTTTTTAAGCCATCCAGTTTGTGACACTTTGTTTTGAGAACCCTAGCAAAGTATACAGTTCATGGGCAAGAAGAACAAAATGGTTCCAGTCAAGCATGAACTCTGCCCCTTGAGTCACTTTATACCTTTACAGTTTACCACAGTGTGTGAAAAAGAGCAAAGAGTGAATGACTGAGATAATGAGTGAATGAAGGCAAGAATACATTTAAAAATGAATAAACCTAACTGAGAGAGATTTAAATTGGAATTTTAGGGAGAGTAGAAGAAACGACAAGATAAAAAGACAAACATCAAGCATGGTCCTGAATGAGTAAGAAAAATCAGGAAATGTTTGGTAGAAAACAAGAGCTGTGAAGTTCAGAGTCTAATATTCTAATTCTGACCAGATCACTGGTTGATTAAGGAACCAGATCACTGACCAGCTCATTCATTGATTAAGGCAGTCATCTACTCTGGATTTTGTTCCTTATATGTAAGGTAAATGGACTGCCTAACAGCTGAATACCATTCAACCTGTGTTCAGTGTGTCTGTCAGATGTTTTACCTAAAAATCAACAAAGTAGGAGTCACACTTTAAGCAAAGGAGTTATCATTTTACATTATGAACAGGACTCGCTATGATGGGTCTAGATTGGGGCAATGAGAAAGTAAGTGACCAGAGTCTTCTAACACATGTCTTATCCCATTGTTTTTGTGCTTAAACTCCCTCCCTTAATACATTTATTCAATAACTACTGAGTGCCTATTTTGTGCCAGGCACTATTCTAGGCACCTGGGACTATAAAGCTGCAATCAAAGCAAAATTCCTACTCTTGCAGAGGTTATATTCTACTGGAGAAGAAAGATGATATATGATTGAATACATGTTAATAAACATAAAATTTAAATATATAGTTATTTATAAAAGTAAATATATAACCTAAATAAATACATAATATATATAAATATATAAAAATACATATATATAATTCAGAGGATGCATAATGGGGATTTATGGTGATACAAAGATTTATTTAGAGAATAAGGTAAGGAGAGCCTCTCCATGGAAGTAAAACTTAAGCAGAAGCCTGTACAAAGACATGAGCCAGACAAAGATCAAGGAGAGGGAAATCCCAACACAGGTCCAGGATGGGGAAGAGGTTGGCACTTTGAGCAAATGGCAAGGTCAGCGGTAGGAGCAGAGGAAGGGGAGGGGGGGGGCAAACGTGCATAGTGACTGAGGAGGTTGTGAGACAGGCAGAGAAGAGATCATAAGGGTCTATGTTTAGAAATTTCTAATATATTTCAAATTTGATAAAGACCTATTTGAGGGTTTAAGCTGTGGAGTGTGTGACACACTCTGTTGTACATTTTAGAAAATGACCTTAGGTGCAGTTTAGAAGAAGGCAAGAGTGGAGGGAGTCCAGGGACGAGATAAGAGTGTAAAGGAAAAGAAAAAAAAAAAAAAAAAAAAAAAAAAAGGTGGCTTTGGTCTAATCATCTGATAGCCAATGGGAAGTAAACCCAAACTCTAACTCAGCATATTAGATCCCTCTGACATGTCCCTTGCTCCTTTTCCAGTTTGACTTACAGTAAAACTCTTCCTCTTCCTTTCTGCTTTATGTCTGTTCATCAGTCTGAACCTTTGGATATTGTGTTTCCTCTGTTTGGAAGGGCCTCCATTTTTCTCTTCATGGTTTGACAGACATTTTACCTTCATGTTTTCTGAATCTCCCCTCTGAAACACTTCCTGACACTACCAGAAAAAGGAGATGTTGCCACAGAACCTAATATAGAACAGGACTCCTCTTTCATACTATATTATATTATGCTATTTTATGCTATGTTGTCTAAATAGCAATTGAATGGTGCAATTCTCTTCAACTTTACTAGTCTGAGAGACACTTAACATTATGTAAATTAATGAGCTAAATTTCTTTTTTGAAAATGTTTTATTGATTTCTAGGAGAGAAAGAGACAGCGTGAGCAGTGGAGGGTCAGAGAGAGAGGGAGTCACAGACTCTGAAACAGGCTCCAGGCTCTGAGCTGGCAGTCAGCACAGAGTCCGACGCAGGGCCAGAACCCACAAACCGCGAGATCATGACCTAAGCGAAAGTCGGACGCTTAACCGACTAAGCCACCCAGGCGCCCCTGAGCTAAACTTCTTAAATGAAACCTATATCACTATGAATATCACTTAGAAGATTATTCTTTTCAGTACAACTAATCTATGCTTATAATTAAGAAATTAATTTAGCTCTTAAAACAAACCGAAAGGATGTCTAGAAATGGGCAAAGAAACAAATTATAAAATTCACATAATAGAATCAAAGTGTCTAAACTGCCTAAAACATTTCTTGTAGATAACATTTATCAACTGGAAAACCTTAATCTTTCTAATGATGAAACCTTCAGTATTAATTTAAAGTACTGTCAAAAACCACATTTTCCAAGAAACTAGTTAGATAAATTTATATTCCACTGCTAGAAAAATAAATACCTAGACATACAGCAAGTCAAAAATCACTTTTGAATGAAATCTCAATGCATTAGCGGTTTCCTGACTTAAGAGTTAATGACCTTTGTCCCCCCACATGAAGACAATTTTAAGATATGCCCTTTCAGAAAATACGTAATAACAAAACGCCACTATGAAACTAGAAAACAGACATGAATTTGTAATTTTTAAATATTCCCATTGAGATGTCTATTTACCTATAAATAGAGGGACTGTCATACTTAACGGCATAAGCATAAGCCCACGGCCAATGCTTAAGGCTAGTGGAAATATAGCAATATCTCAGAAAAACCCAGATATAAGCTTCGAGGTTTAAAGACCTGGAGTTCAGAAACCAGTAAATTAATGGAACTTTTAATGTGAACATGAATCTTGTTTTAAACTGAACTACCATATTTATCGACAGCCTTCTCAGCAGTTGTATGTTAGATTTTTAAAGTAGGTTACACTTTTAATAGCTGATTATTAATATCTCTTATTAGCTCAGCTACAGAGATCTTTTCAAATGTGTCCAACATAATAATGTTTTTTTTCCTTTGTACCATACTCATATATATTTAAATAACTAATCATTACTATTGGAAAAAAAATGATTTTTTGTTTCCATAAGCGCTAGGACTAAGGCTTACCTGAGATGACATCAAGAAAGTTGTCAGAAAATAAATAAGCATGGATGAACCATGAAATCATATTACACTTTCATCTGCCTGCCCTAGAAATGCTCTCTTTAGAGCAGTAAATGTTCTAAGTCCTTTTATGAAAACATTCTGGCTGAAAGAAGATGAAATTACTTTGATGATCCCCAAGGACCTTCCTACTAAAAATTTTCAGGGGTCACTGGGTCTAAATTTAAGGGCATCCTTTGCCTTCCTTATCTGTTTATGTTCAGTATTTATTCCATCATACTTGAAAATAGATCTTAATTATACCCACTGAAATCACAGTCTACAATTGACATTTGGGAGATTTCAAGATTAGAACAAAACTTTCAATCTCATTGATCATAAAGTAATAAATTTCTTTCTCAGTTTGCCTCACATAAGATGTCTTCTTTTCCTGGTATTTCTAAATGGATGTAGACTTTTCTGTTTTTCCCTAAATTTCTAATAAACTAGTCCTTACTAAACTTTCGTATTCGGTTTCTAAGTTACCAGGAGCCTAAAGGCCTCTGCAAGTCTGCACACACATGGTTAACATCAACTCATCTACTGTCTTCTAACTGAAAAGAATCACTCTTACCGTGTAGCCCTCGGTATACTGAAAAGGAGCCCTGGAACTTTCATCTGCTGTTGGACTCAGAGGCTTGGGGTCAGACATGGAGCGCTGCATCATCTTGGCTGTTTTAGGACTTGCCGGGGGCACTTTAGCCATATCTGGATGCAGTACTTTCTGCGGACTTATATCATCAGGGAGGGGTTTTTCATAAGGTACAAAGGCTGATTCTAAGGCTTTGCCTGGTGAAAGTGGTGAGATGGGTGAGTAAAGGACTTTTGGAGATTTGGGTGGGGAAGGAGCCAGCTGTAATGTGGAATCTGCCCGAAGGTGAGATGAGTAACCAATCTCTAAAGGTGTTGGGCGTTTCTTGTCTTTGGGTGGAGATGTGGCACTCAGATACTGAGGACTCTGTGTGTCTGAATCTGCTTCTGTTTGACATCCTAAACTGCCCCCTTTGTAAGTCTTTTCAGGTGCTGAAATGTGTTTAATTATTTCTACCTTGGCATCCACGCGTGCCCGTACTGAAGGCGTTCTTATGGTTCCAACTGGTTCAGTCTGCACAGATATCTCTGCTACTGTCTGAACTGCTATACTGGAGACTTTGGAAAGGGGTTTGGTCTTGTCCGCCTCTGTAGTGCTGTCCCCATATTTCCCTACTCGAGCTTTCCTCCTTGCTCTGGCAGGCACGTCCCATTCGTCCTGATCTTCATCATCAGTTTGGACACTCGTATCAACACTCTTTTTGGTTCTCCTCCTCCTACTCACATAACTCCGATCAGCTGCATCCTCATCATCAGTTTGTACGCCACTGTCCACTATTTTTTTAAAGCAGCGGGGATCATCTGCCATATTTTCCCCGATCTCATCATACTGCCCACGGACTTTAGCCCCGGAGCTTCTCTTTTTGGGTGGTTTCTCGTCTTTTACAACCACATCTGTTAGAGGTATTTCTGAAACAGTACTCAGGATGCCAGGTGGGGCGATGTACTGAGTGACGCCATCAGACTGCACCGTGTACCATCCTTGGCTTTGGGGTATTTCAATCGCCACGACAGCTGAGGCTGTTGTGGTCGCATCCTCAGTTGCCCAAAACTGGCCGCCTTCTGGGGCAGCGTACTGACCTTCCAAAATTGCCTGCTCTGTCGTGGTTTGCGGAGAAGCAGTTCCAGAAGGGTCATAGTTATACTGGTAGATCTGGCGAATCTTTTGCTCCTCTAGCTGCTGGTGAAGCTGTTGCTGCAGCTGTTGGATCTGCTCTAGCTGTAACTGTTGCTGAGCCAATGTCTCCTGCCTCATCATGAACTGGGCTTGCCGCTCTTCTTCCTGCTGATACAGAAGGTGCTGCTTCATAGACTGCAGCTCCTCCAACTTTTTTTGAACCATGATCTTTTCCTGTTCTCGGAACCTTTGAATTTCCTGACGTTCCCACTCTAGTTCTTCAGCAAAACGTTGTTGTTTAATTTTCTCCAGTTCCAAGAGCTCACGCTCCAAGTCAAGCTGCTGCTGTTGTTTGTCTTCTTCAGGGACAATTAAAATAGCACTTTCATCTCCCACCACTTCAGAAAACACTTCAGAAGCTGTGGTTAAAGTGGGAACGGAGTCTATTGTCTCAGCAGTAAGGGTTTCCATTGTAATAGTTTGCAAACTGGCATTGATATCAATACCAGTCGCTGCAATGTCTGTTTCAGATGCACCTGTTGTTAGGAAATATGATCTAGGCATTGGCTGGCTCTGGTGCAGGGCGGATAATGAAGTCACCGCGTCAGCTGTGTGCACGCCAGACAACTCCCTCACCGTGGTGCTGAAAATGGAGCCTGGTTGTGTGGTGATAGCAAATGTGGAGGGAATCGGAGTTGCTACCGAAGAATAGACCACGCCATTAGATGACCTCAAAACACTCCCCACACCATACTGGGATCCTGGAGGTGGAGTCATTCTTGCTGTGGAATACTGTGGGGTACTAATCCCAACTTCTGAAATGACTTGTCGTGTTTCTGGATATGGACCTGTAGTCTTGCTTGAGTAATCCATTATCTCACCTGAAATACAGGGCAGAGTTATAGTCCAGTTCCCAGAATGAATGATGCTTTTTGGGTTTGAGAGCCCTCTCAATCTCGATGAACATAATGAATGGGACTGCATGCAAATCCACAGGTTAACATAATTGGATGCGGAATAAAAAGCAATGTTGAACATGCAGGCACATGCGGGTGACTTTGAGCAGAATAAATTAAAAAATGAAGAAATGAAAGCGCACATGTACTCCAAAATATGTCGCCAAAACATCCAAAGAAAGAGAAAAAGAAACAAAATTGGAAAAGGGACCACATTTTCATCCTGAAATGAGATGAGGGACACCGTAATGACATTTCAAGGAAAGGTCTGCTGCCATATCATACTGACCTGTAGTAATTCTCCCTGAAGTTAGATCTACTGCTGTATCAGTTCCTCCAGAATAATCAAAAGCATTCTTACTTTTATAGAAAAAATGTCCAGCTTCTGCTAAATTAGTGTCGGACATGGAAGGTTTCATTCCCCCAATCCCTCTATAACCAGAAGGCCCTGATCGGTCATATTGATAGTGGTCATCCCTATAACCAAAACGATCCTCAGGAAGAGTAGTTGCGGGCTGCTGTGCTGTGCAGCTTCTTCCAAAAGGTAACTTGTAAACCATATCGCAGCATACAGCTCTTCTTCCTGCAGTGAGATCAACAGGCTTTTCATCATCTTCTATTATTTTGGTCACCACACCGGAAGTAGATTCATCCATCGTTACAATAGTTCTGTGAGACTTGGTTGTACTGAGATCTACTACTTCCCCATCAGTGATTCCCTGGGATTTGATGCTATCAGTCCATCCATTTGTGACTCCAACAGGAGGTTCGGTAACAGGTTTTGTAACAGCCAATGTTATCGGGTGTGCCGGTGTACTTAAAGATAAGTTTATTGGTGCATCCTCCCTAACTGGAGGAAAGGCCTGGCCACTCGCTATCCTGTATGGGGGCTCAGCATGCTTTGACGTAGTAAGCTGGAGTGGCGCTGCTGTTGCATGTTCTATACCCACTAGGCTTTCTGTGCCCACGGTGTAACTTGAACTAGCTGCGCATGAGACAACAGTCACTGGCTCAGTGACCAGGGACATCGGCGTTACTACTGATGAAGTTGCACTGAGATTTATAATAGAGGGTTGGACAGCACTGATTTGTCTCCCATAGGCTTCATGTGTGGTGGTCTGCCTTTTCATATCCATTGTGGAGGCGGACAGATCCATACACTTTTCAGTTACTTTAACTTCTACTTTTGGTACTGTACGCAAATCAATGGCATCACCAACAAGTGGCAACTTTCCATTTTCCTTATGCTGACGCTTCTCTAAATGTAGGCTATCTAGAGCAAGAGGCTCTGGAGGAATTGGTATAGAAACACTGCTGAGACCAACACTAGGGAGTGCACTTCTGGCTACTGAAACCTCAGCCTTGGAAACTTCAGTTGTGAAAAACTGTGTAACTGAGGTTGGGGCTGCTGGAAATGAAGATAATGTTGTGACAGGAACAGCAGAAAATGTCTCCAAAGCTCCTGACATGTACAAGCTCTGTTCTGAAGAACTGGGCATTCCTGCAGTTGTTACAGGAGGAACCACAGAAAACACTGGTTCAATGGAAATCAGGTCTTTGGGGGGTGATCCCAGAGGCCAACTGGTAATTGCTTGACTAGCTGAAGAATCTGTTGGTGTGCCGGGTTCAGATGGCAATGTGATAACCACGTAGGTTTCCATGAGGGATTTGGAAAATCTTGGTGAGGACTTATTAGAATGAGGGGATGCTGGGGAGGTAGGGGAAGGTAATTTATAATCTGCTGAAGTCACTAAATTTAATGTCATGTTTGAAGTTAAAGAGAGACCTGTTGGCTTGGGGTGTACGTCTGTTGATTTTTGTGTAGTTACTGGAAGCTGAGGGACTGCTGGTTTAGGGGCAATTGGAGGTTTACTTGGCTCAGGTCTATGTGTAAAGACAAGTCCAGATGGGATGGAAGATGGTTTAGGAGGAACAGGAGGAGGTGCAGTGGTACATATTTTTGTTACAGGTAACCCATTACTTCTTGGAATAGCTGTGACCTCTACTGTAGTAACAGCATCAACTAGAGGTGTAGTTGTAGTAGTTAGAGTCACTGGAGCTGTAACTGTTAGCTTTTTTTTAGGATGAACGGTTGGCTTAGGTGAGGTTGGTGGAGGAAGAGGTGGAGGAGGGGGTGGGGGGGGAGGAGGAGGAGGGGGAGGGGGCGGAGGGAGAGGAGGAGGAGGCTGGGCTGATATGTCCAAAGAAGAACTTCTAAAGAATGGACGTGGTTTAGTTGGAAAAGAAGTAACAGAAGGACTGCCAGATGGTAGCTGAGATGCAGGTTTCGCTTGATCCAAGACCTGTCCTGATATAAAGCAAGTTGCTGAAACCTGCTCCCGCACCGGAAGGGCCACCGCAGGAGGAGGAGGTTGATCAGACACAGTTTCAGGTAAGCTCATCTTTGTTAGTTCAACCTCAGACCTCTCCCTTTTATCTCTGTAAGCTTCCAGAACCTCAAGAATAATTCCATTTCCAGTGTCCTTCGTGGCTTTCTTTGCTGAGTCTTTTGCAGATACAGGTAAGTCAGTGGAAACAGTGTCAGCAATCAACCCCTCTTGTTTAGTTCCTATAGATTCTAGGATAGGAGGCTCTACATCAGATAAGGAAATCACGATATGATCAGCACTAGTTCTTCCATCTGGTGTGGCAGTCCGATCTAAAGATATACTTATGTCTTCTGGATAGTCTATAATGCTGCCTGGAAAATACGTTGAGGAAGAAATTCCCTCAGAATTTTCAAATTTAGTTACTATATCTACCGGCTCCGTATAAACTGTGGTTATGCTATCCAAGGTGGTGACGGGTGAGGAGCTATCCGTGGTACAAACTGAAGAAACAGATGATGTGAGAGACGGTGTGTCAGAGGGTGGGACAGATGTAGCACTTTCTGAAGGCTCAGAGTAGGTCAAAATCAGTGATTCATGGGCAATTATCTCTTGTATTTCCCTTGTATAATCCGTTACGTATTCATCCTCAATTTCTTCTGCTGAAAAATGTTGGGTTATTTTGACATCTGGGATAGAGAGTGTTGCACTGCTGGTCGAATCTGTAAGAGATGCTCCTGAGAGAACACTTGATGTCAAAGAGGCATCGGGCACCCTGTCAAAGTCCACGGTAGACTCAATCATGTCATCCGTGATGGGGGGCTGAGTTGGACTGGATCCAGGTGTTAACTCCATCTGCTGCCTTTTCATCAGTTCTTCATAGGCAGCATCAGCATCTAATAATTTTTTTTCTTCACTGGTGGAAGTCACCATACTACCCAGATCCACTATTTCATGGCTTTCTGGGATGATAAAAGAGCTTGAAACAATGTCTTCTTGAGGCACAACAGAATGTAAGCTTTCTAACTCATAAAACTCTTTCTGGAGGTCTGTTATTTTTTGCATAGGATCTTCATAAATGTGTTCTGGAAGTCTTATTTTTTGCTCTTTCCCTCTCTGCTGCATAAATCCATTTTCATCTTCTTGCCTTGCTAGCAGACTGCCATCTACTGAACCATTGTACGTGTCCTCTACTAAGGATTCATAAATATAGTCCTCTATTAACATCCCACCATACAAGGGCTCTTTTTCAAATATTTCATCTCGTTCAGGTGCAGCTGGAAAAGGTTTGTATTTGTGGGTTTTGTGCATCATTTCTTCATACATCTCCTCAGCACTTTTTAATGCCTTTTGGCCACCTTCTTTCTGCATCATAGACTGCTCATCTGTTGGTGAGTACAAAGACATAGCTGTGGGCAATTTATAAACTTTTTGCACTTCTATTATCTTTTCTGGGCTTATTTCAAAACCTTCTGGGTCTGACTCTATGCTAGGTGAGTATTCAGAGCAGGAAGATCGATGGAGCTCCTCCATTTCTGCAGCCTGGCGTAATTCTTCTGTTGGAGATGCATCTTCAATGGGAGAGAGGTTACTGGGTGGTGTCTTGGGTCTTTCCCTCCTTCTCTGAGCTCGAAGTTCATCTTTGTCTTTCTTTGATTTCTTACTAGAAGTCTTTCTTTGTTGCTGTTCTAATTCCCGCTGCTTTTCTTGCTCCTTTAATAATTCTTCCTCCTCTCTCAATTCTTCTTCCTCTGAAGAATCTTCAATAGTAGGCAAAAGAGGACCATGTGATCTGTGCCGAGCCTTACGTTGTTGTTTGCTCTCTCCTTTTTTGTGACTTGGGCTACTGTCACTGTCCTCATCAAGTGATGACACCGAGGTAGGGGATGTGCCAGGAGTGAAGCTGGAAGCATGAAGACTAGAAGATCCTTCCCCCCTTGACCTATCTTCTGGGGAGTCTGTCAAGCTTTCCATTTCCAATTCTGGCTCCTCATCAAAATACAAAGCTGTTTTCTTCTGTGATGACTCCGTGGAGTATTTATCTGCTATCGTGCTGTTGAGTTCAATCGTTTTGAACCGACGTAGCCCACCTCCTCCAGCAACTACAAGTTCTTCACTCTCTTGACTTTTAGTTTCTCTGTACTTAAGCTCAGGACTTTCATCAAATGTCTCATCATCTTCATCATGCCACGAATGGCGTCTCCCTGCATCATCATCAAAGCTTGCACTACTTTTTCGAGTCAGTCGTCTGTGTTTCCCTGCTGTTGCTTTCCCTTTCCCTTTCACATCTTCCTTCTTCTGGATCTCAATACTACTACTAATCTCTTTGAGCTGGCTCCTAATGAACTCATCATCTTCAGAAGCTGAAGCGTCTTCGTCAGCACTCATTTCCATGATCTGTTTTCGAATAAAGTCCTCCTCTTCACCGGATCCTTGACTGTCTTCCTGTTTGTACTCATCACTGCTCGATGAACCAACACTAGTTCTCCGTTTTCTTTGCGGAACAGGTGAATTTTCACTTTCGCTACTGTCTTCAACTGAATCATAAAGCTGTCGTCTTGTAGCTGTGTCATCAACAAACTCAGGCTTTTCTTCATGGTCCTTTCTGGAAGGAATATCTTGTTGGCTATCTTTTTTTAAAGTGTCTTTTTCTTCTGGACTCTTTTTGAGCTCCCCTTCTGAAATTGTAGTTTTCACTGTTTCAGGTAAAGTCTGAGTTTTCTGTGGATCCTTAGGCTGCTCAGAAGAAGCCTCATGAGGTTGGGGTTTCTTTTCGGACATTTCTTCAACAAGTGTACTTGCCTGAGCTTCCAAAATGGAGAGGACCGTACTTTCTAACTTAGCCAAATCTGAGGGGCTGGAAGGACTGCTTTCTTGGGAAAAAGAGTCCTTTTTGAGTCCCTTGAGCAAATCTTTCTCATCAGTTGGAATAAGACTTGGAATTTCACCAAGTGAACTTGATATCCCATCAGAAGAATATCCCGTGTCACTCAGACCTTGTGGGCTTTTTGGTTGCTGAGAACTTGAAGTGTCTGATTTGTCATCTTCCTTTTCCTAGCAGGGAGGAAAAGATACAGGAAAAACTTAACATGATTAAATGAGTAACGTGGCCTATCACTCCCAATTACTACTATGAACTGAGGAATAAGTATAGGATTTCTTTTCAACTATAGGCCATTATTCAAAAAACAAATCTCTGGGTCCAAAAAAGTTAAAAGAGTTAATACATACTGATTAAGGTTAGTTTTAATTTAACCTAAGTTTAATTAAATGCCAATTCTCAATGACATTTGATTTTTTTCCATTAATACTCTTTTTTACATTTCAATATCATTTTCTTTCAAATGTGTGATTATTTTTCTCAGTACATTTACTTTGTAAAACAGTTCTAAACTGTCAAAGAGAAAAATTAATGATTTCATTAATATAATCAATACTTTTGAATTATGAGGACAGGCAAAGAAAGAAAAAAAAAATCAGAAGGCAGGCTTTGTACTTGACTACAAGTTGTAAGGGATGTTGAAAAGTTTACAAAACAGAGATATGTAGGTAATATGACTGTAATGATACCCATCTCAACTACCAGACAAGATTTATTTTGAAAGAGATTCAAATAAGGCACTGCTTTTAAAAGACACTATAAGGACGCCTGGGTGGCCCAGTTGGTTGGGCCTATGACGTCAGCTAGGGTCATGATATTGCAGTCTATGGGTTCAAGTCCCATATTAGGCTCTGTGCTGACAGCTCAGAGCCTGGAACCTGCTTCGGATTCTTTGTCTCCCTGTCTCTGAGCTCTACCCTACCCTCAACTCATATTCTGTCTCTCTCTCAAAAATAAACATTAAAAAAGTAATGATTAAAGACACTTTAAAAGATGTGAAGACACTACATTTAATATTATAATTCTATAACATCTGAAGTGAATGTTTAGAAACTGTAAACTTTGAAAAAGTTACAATAATTACTGACTCATGGCTTTATCTAAAGAGAAATACCAGCTATTATTTTTGTAGTGTTGCTCATCTCATTTATCTTCAGCATCACACCTCAAGGATATTTAATAAATATCACTTATAAATGTCTTCGGACTTTGTAAATACACTGGAGTTTTCCCTTTGCACTACCTCAAAGTCAGCTCCTTTCAACCAGGACAATAATGAACTTTTCTAAATGTGATCATGGTCTTTACAAGGAGCTGGGAAACTAAGGAGACAAATCACAGCCTCGACCTGCTGCTTTTCTTGGGCTGTGATGAAGCCATGCCAGCAATTTGTTCAAGAATCAGAGTAGCCTTAAATGAAAATACTGAACAAAGAGGCTTTATGCAGATATCCAAATTAAAATTACCTATGAGCAAAATGAAACTCAACTGATCCAGTCACTTTCCATGCTTAAAGCAGAGTGTTAAAATAACCCCAGGGCCCTATGGAATGAAGAGGTCAGAAAATGAACTGCAGCAGGACATGCTCTGTCTGACCCTGGCCTCTGGGTCCACCTCAATTACACTAGGTCTGTATCTTGGACTAACTACCTGCATGTTTTCAGTGGGTTTGTAAGCATGGGCTCCTCCGATGAACACACATCAGGTTGAACAACAAACAACAGACATGGAAGAAACTTTCTTCCTTCTTTCTCTTTCCCTTTTCCTTCCTTCTCTCCTCCTCCTTCCTCTCTTTCTCCAGCTCCTTCTCCTTCTGCTTCTTTCAGGTGTCAAGTTGGTTTGATATTCATTTTACAGCCATGTTCACTGCAATACCTATATTGTTACTATGTATGGTTAGAAATGTATTTTGAGTACATAACATGGTAAGAAGCTTTGGCCAAATTTACAACATGATGTAACTCAAATTCAAAATGACAGTGATAGGGTGTCTAGGTAGCTCAGTCAGTTAAGCATCTGACTCTATTTTGGCTGAGGTCATTATCTCACAATTCATGAGTTTGAGACCCTGCATCAGGCTCTGCACTGATAGCAAGAAGCATGCTTGGGATTCTCTCTCTCTCTCTCTCTCTCTCTCTCCCTTTCTCCCTCCCTCCCTCCGTCTCTGCTTCTCTCCTCATCTCTCTCTCTCTTTCTCTTTCTCTCTCTAAGTAAATAAATAAATAAATAAATAAACTTTAAGAAATCCAAAAAGACGGAGACATGTTATTCACAACTCTAGTGCAAAAAGCAGTAAGTACTTTTTGGTTTACCATGAATTAACTTCCCAGGGTCATTTCAGATGTCTTCCCAGGAAAAAGTTAGCTATCAGAAGTTGCCAAGAGTTTAGTTAGTAGTAGGGCTGATGAGCACCCAACTAATTTTGACTCCTTTATCTTGAGAGCTACATGTTAAAGAGGTGAGCACAGACAAAGCAGAGTTCTAAAAAAATCCTTCTAGATGGTCCAAGTGGAGCGATGTTTCCATCTCCTTACATTCTTACATTCTATCTCCTTACATTCCACACAATGATGTCCAATATGATTTCTATGTCTTTCTTTATCTGTCTTTCTACCCTTCACTAAATCATACTAAGCACCATAACCAGAGAGATGGGGTACCTAAGCTCCTTCTGGGAAAAAATGTTAAAAAAATATTGTTCAGAATCAAATTGTGATAGTGGCATTTGTATTCTTTATTTTGTGTCTGCAAATGATACAAAACAGAACAACGTAATACATTATCCATATATGGAGGAAATGTAACCATTGTTATGTATAATAATTCATTGAGTATAATAAATGAGAAATTCGAGTTTTACACAATGGATTCTGCAGGTTTTACATTTTGTAAAAATAAGATTAGGTCCAGACATATAATGTAACAGAGGAAATTACGATACATTAGACAGGAGACGAAGACACATACGTATCAACATACATATCCTGCAATCTCCTTATGTGGCCCATCTCCACGTCTTCATGCTTTATTTCTTTCCTTAGTACGATGTTCTCCCCATTTCTCCCTTCCACCACTTTCCTGGTCTCTTTCCTATACATTTCATAGGGGATTCAGTCATTATTTACCTATGATGATCCTGTGATGATTTTTCCCTCTAAATGACTGTTATTCTCCGTACTATCAGATGGTAAAAGGTGCAAAGATTTTGATCTATATGCTTGTGGGTCTAAGGTAAAATGTTTGGAGTGGTTAATAAGAAAATCAAGTTAAGTGACCAAAGGGCATTGGTCTGAACTGTTCGGAAGAAACAGTTGCTCATGTATTTATTGTGCGATGGTACAGTGAAAAAAGTCCTAATGTCAACTCTTCTCATACTAACTAGCATACTAAAGTCTCCTGACAGAGATGAGCAACATTTTGGTTCTTCATTACCCTGTTAGCTTGTTAACTCTCAGATCACACACTAACCAGGCCCTTTGGCTCTTTAAGGCACCTACACATTCATCTTTTCACCCACTGCTGCTAAAAACAAAAACAAGTTTTCCTTCATGTATGGAGAGGGCCACACTGAGGCACACATCTGCCCAAGCAGTGATCCCTTCTATGGCTATCTACTTTTCTTTGGGAGGTATTTGAGTGGGGATATGAGTGTAATTTGTACTCACACAAGTTAACTGGGCTATACAGCTAATACACACTACAAAACCCTTGCTTCCTGGATAATATTTTTTTTTTAAAATTTTTTTTTATTTATTTCTAGGAAAGAGAGAGAGACAGCGTGAGCAGGGGAGGGTCAGAGAGAGACGTAGTCACAGACTCTGAAACAGGCTCCAGGCTCTGAGCTGGCAGTCAGCACAGAGCCCGACGCAGGGCTCGAACCCACGAACCGCGAGGTCATGACCTAAGCGAAAGTCGGACGCTTAACCGACTAAGCCACCCAGGCGCCCCGATAACATTTTTTTTAAAACAAGTGAATAATGTGATCCAATCAGAAAGAGTAGATGGAACTGAGAAGAACATAAAACACGGTGTGTAAGATAGGTTTGGCTTTCTCTAATGATTCCATCTTCAAATGGATATCTGAAGTACCGTAACACGAGAGGAAAATTATCAAAGTATTTAAGTGAGGGAGACATAATCTGGCTTATTTTCTTTCAAGTTTCTAAGTTCCTAGGACTAAAAGACTGGGCGCTTTCTCCTAATTGCTTCAAAAATGTATCATTACATACTTATTTGTGAGAAGAATATTATGTTACTTGTGATAATATATTCAAATTTAATAAACAGATCCAAACAGTTCTTTCTAAATTACATATATATTATATATAAGACATATATACATATAAGTGTATAAACATCACTGAGTTTTATTATTTATGCATTATTTTCTTCATTTGAATAATCAGAAGTTGAAATTAATTACCCATTTCATTTTTTACGTGTAATATAATCTAGAATGACTTCTAATATTAAATTAAGAAGAAAATCCAGGCAACTACCTTTTATGTGAGAATTTTGTCATCTTAGATGGAGGCAGTAAGCGGGAACAAACATAATTTAAGCATACCTTTTTCTTGTTTTAAATGGCAATGACATTTTTCAGTTCCCCTCAGGAACACATTTTCCTTGCATTTTTCTAAGTATATTTAGCATTAGATTCCGTTTCACTTACTTTTACTGTTATTATTATTATTATAATATCTTTCCCATGTTATAGAATTATGGTACTTGAGACTTGAGCCTTTCTAGTCTGTGTATAAGAAACAATTACTCAAAACTTCCAGAGGCTAAGATTCACATATTTTTTTAAAATTACTAACCAAAAGCAGAGAGTGGAGAATTCCTTTTCCTTCCAGAATCCCACTGCCATTTATTGATCTGGAGACTAGTCAGAGAGAAGCAGTGATGAACTGAGCCCCAGGTAAAACTCTTCTGATGGTATCCTATCTTGGAGCCTTCTCTAGTGATGGAGAAGGTACTAAGACTCGTCTGTCCTGCCAAACTTAGTTTGCCCTTTCACAAATGCTGACATGTTTATCCTTCCATACTGAAGGTGAATGGAAGTTTTTCAAACATTATAGTAGTTAAGAACTGAATTGTTGGTTAAATTTAAGACTGTACAAAGACAGGATATTTTCAATACTGCTTAATTTTTCCAAGACACTTATTTCAA